TCACCTGGGAGTGAAATTATTTCAGTTCAATGTACTCATTATCCTTCATCACAAAGCCAGTGATGTCCTTTACAAGTATGTCATCTTACACTTTGAACTATAGTAAGCTCTTTAAAGAAGGAAGGGTTTGGCTGTATGGGACTGTGACCTTTTCATGGAGTTTCTGGTGTCTTCATTTGTGAATGTGAGTAACTTTTAAAGTACAATTCATTCTTGGGCAAAGCTCTAGAAGTCTGATCCTGCTCTCATTCAAATTCTCATCCCCAGGGGCGTGGCTTCCATAACAGACCGCAGCTGGCTGGGCTCTGGCTCCTTCTGGTTAAAGGTGACCCCGTTTGGCTTCAGAAAGATCCTGAGGTGGATAAAGGAGGAGTACAACAACCCTCCAATTTACGTGACTGAGAATGGCATTTCTGAACGTGGCTACACGGGCCTCAATGACACTTGGCGAATGCACTACTACAAGAGTTACATTAACGAAGCGCTAAAAGGTAGCTCCCTTCCAGAGTGCTTAAAAACTGGTCAACTAGACCCATGGAGAGCTAGGCTGCTGCTGAACAGGATAATGCTTTTACACATCCTTTTAGTGTAAAACTAACACTCTGATGATTGTTCTAAGCGTGAGCAATGTGGCCACCAGCAAGGTGATGGGGCTCATCTTGCAGAAGCTGCCCGTCTCAGCCCAGTGTCCCACCAGAAGACAATTATGCAAAGTTCCAGCCTCCAGTAAGCCTGACTCATGGTCTGAATCCCTTACTAATGTCAAACAGTTGGGTACTTAACTTGCTCCTTTATACAGATTGCATCATGCCCTCTAGCTGCCTCACAGGCACTCTGACAACCTTTGTCCAGATGCCTGTTGTAAGGGCAGGAAGACAGAGCACCAGCCATCCCATCTGTGTCCACCGATTCTGGCGTGTGCGGACCCTTCGGTGGCCTTCACTGAAGACTCCCATCTGCTCTACCAGCTGGCCCTTGCACTCACATTTTTATTCACAAAGTACAAGTTACCTCTGAGTTGTTTAACTACACAGGCCACACAATGCCTGAAAAATCAGATTTTTTTTCTTAAGGCTGTTTCTGTAAAACACATTGTTTGCCCTTAGGGAAGAGTGAGGTACTATTCTAAGCTATGCCCATGGCCACTGACAAGTTAAAATGACAACTGTGGACCATAAATAGTCAGCTGTTTAAAATATAATTAGTTGTTTCCTCTAGCAGAGAAATGACAGCAGCTGCTGAAGCACTGGTTGCATGTTCAAAAGCTCTTTTTACGGTCTTAGAGCCTTTTCTTTTTAAGTAAAAGCTTAAAGGAACAGAAGATAGTTAGTGCCAACAGTGTAGCAGGCTCTCAGTCAGCCCAGTTCAGTCCTCCAAGTTACAGCACAGACAGACTTGTGTGACTGAATTAAGGAGTTTGCTCACCTGATCCCTGCTGCTTCTGAATTAGGATTCAGGACTGGATGAGGCATAAAACGGGAGGTTTAAAATGCTCATTCTAATTGTATTAGCACCTTGCACATCACTTACACAGTACAGTGGACTGCCTTCTATATTGATAACTAGCAAGATAAACCTAGTAGATAACTGGCATTTCCATGTTCACAACCTGTGGGGCTAACTCCCTCTTTCCATTTGGCACATTGCAATAGCTGTTGTACTGGATGGCGTTGATCTGCGAGGGTACACAGCCTGGTCTCTGATGGACAACTTTGAATGGGCGACAGGCTTTGCTGAAAGGTTTGGTTTGCATTACACCAACTACACAGACCCTGCTCTGCCTCGCATTCCAAAGGAATCTGCCAAGTATTACTCATCCATCATACAATGCAATGGATTCCCAGACCCAGCAACTGGACCACATCCATGTCTTCAACCCCAGCCTGAAGGTAAGTAACGCACTAAAAGTCAAATAGAGATTTAAATCAAATGGCTTCTGCAGGCAACTTCCACACTTTGTTTATAAAAGAGTCACGAATGGAAAGGAAGGAACTTAAGTGTTCTAACGTTTAGGTTCTGCTTTTGCTCCATTTCTAAACTGCTCTGAGAGCTACATTTGTGTAGTTTGATTTCCTGTCTGCACATACTAGGAAGAGTAGCAGTAGGGTACAATGCTTTAAAAAAAAGTTTAGGAATTCTACAAACAGAAAAATTAATTGTGGGTGATGGGCGATTATTTTTTGAGCAAACTTGTTTTATATCAACCTTCCCAGACGGTGGATTCCTTACTGCAAGAATTAAAATGACTTACCCCACTTTTAAATTTCAGCATTAAAAGTGCAGCAGGGACCTGACCTGACCTACAGCTATATGTGAAGCTTCAATTCTAGTCAAGCAACCACATGTTGCAAGGCGGATACTAACAATCCTCAGAGCCCACTGCAAGCTTAATGTACACAAGGTAGTTTGAGAGAGCAATGCTCATGCTGATGTATTCACTTCTTGTGCTCCTAGGTACTGTGACACCAGCTGCTTCTACAGCTACCATAATGGGGCCTGTGCTGAATGCACCCAGCCAGAAAGTACGCTTTTTGGGATTAGAGTTAGTTTCATCGAATGCGGAAATAGCGCTGTATGTACTCTTTGCTCTCTCTCTGGTTGCTCTGTTAACATTTGCTCTTTTTGCCTATAAATATGGGAAACTATCCAAAAGAGTCCACAAACAACCACACCTAGAGCTAAACAGATTGTAAGTTTTTGAAGCCTGAGTAGCATGGCAGCCCAGTCAGATTTGGGTCCTGTTTTAAAGGTTTTTTATCTGTTGCCCCCAGCTAAGCACACCACTGAACACTCAGTTTCAAATAGCTATTTACAGCTATATAAAACAAAGCACAGACAAGCCCTCTGCTGTCTTCAGTCTCTCTCTCAGGGAGGGCTGAGATGCATTAGATGACTGGCCTACACAATCATTCCTTTAAGATGACAATTAACATGAAAACTTTCGTTGCCTCCAGCTGTATCAGATCACTGCATTTTACAAGAGTGGCTTTCGCCTGTTTCCTGCTCTCCCCTCCCCCACAAATTGTCTGCATGTTGCATCCTGCTTTTGAGAGGCAGCTTAATTGTACTTCTAGCATTTGGTAACATTAAATAATAGGTTACCAGCCAGAGGCACAGGACACCTGCTCCCAAGGCATCAAGACTGCTGGAAGAAACTGACCAAAACACAGATCTTGCTCTTCCTGCCAACATCAGGTGGACTTTATAGTCGCATTTGTTTTATACAAGTGTGTAGTAACAGAAAATTGGAAACCTACAACAACTACAATGAACTTAACTCTTCCCACCCCCCAGCACCCAAGTCTTTCCAAGAAAGCTGCATCATACTGCATTCTTCCTATGGATACCAACAGGAATGACAGTGTCTTTAAAAACTCCATAATGACACTGCAAGATGATGATCTGCTCTCAGGCTAATTGTTTGTCTAACAGTAATAGCCAACCCCCCCAGGGTACAAGGCATTGTACAAATTACCGTGAGAGCTTAAAACATGGGCAGCTTGTAATTGCACTTATTTGTAAGCCAATAAAATTCTCTTGCATCAAACAAGGTTTGTCTGTTTTGTACTAATGCTGGTCTGGATGGTTCCTATTAGATGCACATTCTTTACCAACATGAACTTACAAGAAGTGCAGTTCAATTCTGATGATTCAAGAATCCTTACTGCCTCTCTCTTACATTTACAGCTAGAGATGTCAGTTTGTTAGTCCGCACTGCTTTGTGCTGGCCAGTGTGTCCATTAGCCGTCTAAAGTTAGTTTATTTCCAAAAGGTAAGTTAATGGGGTTACCCACACACACGAGCAGCACCAGTTTAAAATAAATTGTGATGTTAAATATCTTACCTCTGGCACCTTTCAGTTTCACCCCGCCTTACATTTGCACTCGAAATTTGGTTTGAACAGAAAGCAGTGCACCTTAGATCTCCAGCGCTGTAGCAGTGGGGAGGCATTCTTGTGTTGCCTTTAACCTAGCTATTAAGCCTAACAAGTAAAGATACAGAGCAGTAGCTAGTCATGTTAGCCTGAAGCTAGGGCAGGGCAGCACCTTAAAGACTAACTTAGTTAGAGGCATGAGTTTCTGTAGGTGACAGTCAACTTCAGATGCCATGATGATGCATGTGAAGATGAGAACAGTAGGGTGGCAATCTACAGCCATCACAGAGGGCTGAACTACAAAGACACTCTTGCATGAATTCAGTAGTTGCTAGCATTCATTTGCTCACTAGTGTGCTGCAGGGGCACCGATACTGCACCATACCTGCAGATGGTAGGAAAGCTACTCTGGGAGATGTGGACTTAAACTGTAGGGAAAACACACAGTCTCTAGAAGGTTCCACTGTAGGGAAAACAGCATATTATCAGCCTCTAGAGACGGGAAGGGCAGATCTTCCCCGTCTGAGCTAGGTGTGGCAGCTTCCAGAATCCAAACACTGCACATTTCATGACATATTAAACTATGCTTTACTTGCAGATGCTACAAGTAAAAAAGTTAGTCCTGAAATACTACCACACTGGAACAGCTGCAATCTGCATATATAACCATCCACCCTACCCAAGAGCCAAAGGGTTAAGTTTAATTTTACAGCAAAGGGAAATATTTAGTGCAGCTGAAAAGGAACAGCATCTGTAAGATCTCCATGAGAAATGTTAGAGTCAGGTTTTTTTTGAAAAACATTTTATTGAGTGCTTGAGAATTAAAAACTACAAGGTTGTGCTTGCAGTTGCAGAAGCAAGAAAGTTAAACATAAATTAGTTAATCTGATTTGCTAATAATGCTTCTGATGCGCTCAATTTACTCACTCATTCATTGACCTACCAAGAACTTTATATTAATGTCTGGGCTTTAGATTTATATAGCAGAATATTCATAGATAAAAGTGCCTTCAGATGACTGTAGGGCTAATAATCATGGAATACTGAAAGCTGATGGAAATTCTCAATCCTCTGAGCCTGTAGCAACTGCTACCATATGCAATACTGTAGCAGACAGCTACACCTCTTGATTTAGGCAACTTCATACCCCATGGCAGGAATAGAAGTAGTGTGGCTGAGTCAGTTTAAGATACAAGCCTTATGTCTCCAGCAGAAATTTTAGTTTGCTTAAATCAAATAAGGAAAAAACAAAACAACACAAACCCAATGATTATTGCACCATTACTCAAAACTACATTTGCTGGGTTGAATTTCCATTCCAAGTATTATTTTCATCTTCTCCATCATCTTGAGTCCTCAATCTATATATTTTGCCTTCTTTTTTAAAGTCCTCCCCACGCTTTTCCAGCAGTCGTTTCCTAACTGCTTGCCTAGAGAGAAAAGGAAATACAAGTTATGAACAATTTCCTTAGCAGTAACTGCATTTACTCTGTCAAACATGTCTCCCACCAAAAATGGTTTGCATCATTTTGTCCCAATCAGAGCACCTAGTGCTTTCCTACAGAAAATGGCTCAACCGTGCTAGAAAATAAATAAATGAATAAAAAAAAATCACGATTTAAGGAGTCACACAGATCCTACATCTGTAACAGGTGGAAGTGAGGGCTTCCATAGAAGCAAAACCACCACCCAGCCGTAAGCAGCAAATCTGATGTGGAGTTCTCCCTGACTCTGTCTAGATACTCAAGACCGCCTGCTCTCTACTTCTTGGAGCTCCAGAACAAACTAGAATTCAATTGTATGGTACATGTAACATTCCTGTAGAAATCACAGCTTGAGAAGATTTGACAAGATGACTGGAAAAAGAGAGAACAAGAGCATGCTTTTATCAGCAACTGGTTACTCTGAGAAAGGTTGTGGGGGTCCTACTGCTAATCCTTCCAGATCTTTTATTCTTTACACACCACTCAGAGAAGATGCGTTTCCCCAGAGCTGACTAAGAAACAAACATAACAGTTCTTAGCTACTAATGCAAGAATAATCACAGCACAGCACCAAAGCTCAAGGCATCAAGAACTTGTCTGATGGCTGGGCTACAGTAATGAAATCCCCTGCCAGTCTGACAACTGTGTTATCTCCCAGCAGACACCTTACTGTTTCACATAGTTCATTTCTTCTTGAAAAGCATGTTGACCTCCAAAGTAGTGGATCAAATCAAACTCATCCATGCATACTGATGAGTGGCTCAATCATGAACAGCGCAGTACTATTCCCCTTTTACAGCAGGGGCCCAGAAGCACAATGGTGCACCAGACTTGCCCAACAGCAGGACAGCACTGACTGAGCCAAAAACCAAACAAAAATCTCCGAGTTCTAGTCCACTGCCCTATCCCTGACACCATCCCTGTGATATAGAAAGACTGTGGGCCAACAGTTCACTGAACCAGACGAGGGCACTTTTAAAAGCAATTTTAGCTGGTGCCATTAGCAACAGAACAACCTAGTCAGGTGCAGTTACCTGCTTGGCTCCATACTGCTGGATGCTGAAGGATTTGAATGTTCTTGCTGATGTGCTGTTCTCACTGTAGATTGTGAGGGGGGAGGACTGGTGAATATGAAGTTGCTAATAAGCCTCCAGACAGCAATGAGTGGATAAAGTATTGTGCCCAGGAATTTCCAAAAGTCTCCACCTGAGGCCTGTACCACTGATGTTGCTGGTCTTCCAGCCTATTCATGAACAAAGAACAGAAAATTAAGACTGTGCAGAGCTGCAGGTTTGCAAAGGGTATTTTATGAACTGCCAGGTTAGATTCATTGATTCACATCACTGTCCTTGATTCAATTCGGCCGAGTCTGAATCTGAAGATTCGGCGCTGACTGGGAGAACCAGCAGTTCACAGATGCAGTTTTAAAAGTTTAATCTACTACCTTGAGATAGCAGGCACAGCTCATGATCGCTGTGATGCTGGGGCGCATGGAGTCCCACAGGAGTGCAGGGGGACTGCTTTTGGGTCTGCCAGGGAATGCGCTAGGGGCCCCCCGCACCCGCCCAACTCGGTGATCGGCTGCAGGGCCACTCCAGGTGCCGCCCCAGACCCAGGAGGCACCAGTCACCAAGCCGGGGGGCCACGGAGGGGACCCGGAAGTGCTTCTGGTCCACTTCCAGGTCTGCTGCCAAGCGCACCGGGGTCCCCCAAGCGCAGTGTCCCTGTGCTTCTGTGGGACACTCCATGCGCCCCAGCATCACAGTGTTCACGAGCCCCTGCTACCTAGAGGTATGTAGAAAAAACATTTAAAGCTGTGTCTATGTCCAAATCTCCAAATCTTTCCGAATTGATTCGGAGGGTTCCGATATGATTTAGGCAGATTAAAGGGTCCTCCGATTTGATTGGTCCACCGAATTGGGCCATATCTCCACCGAACTGAATCAGGGACCAAAGCTTCGCACAGCCCTATTGTTCAGTACCTATGTGCAAACACCCAAATAGCCAATCCCACCGTTATGAAATAGGTACTAGATGTGAATTCTGGGTGCTGACTTTACAAGCAGGCTCACTTTGAGCCAAACACCTTATTTTGCAATTTTGCAACTCACTTCTGATTAGTTGTCCCAAACTGTAATTCAACCCTTTCTGCTCCCAGACCCATTCCTCTGGGTGAGCCCTACCAGATCTACTGAGGACTGAAGCCAGCTTAAGGATAAGACTGTCCAAAAACAGCTTATGGGGCACAGCAAAAAAGCAGGCAGCTCTTTGGGGCTCATGAGCCAAAAGAGGCAGTAAAGAGCTCACACTTTTCCTTGTGTCATTGCCAATGCTGGGAAGTGGTAGGTTTTTAATTCCTTTCCTTTAGTACAGATCAAAATGGTAAGTAATTCTGCCAGTATCTAAGAGCGAGTCTATCTGAGATTTAAAGCAAGAGCTTCAGGAACATTTAGCATTTCCCTTTTTCAAACAAATTGTCATTTCTGACATGAAAAAGTTGAGGGCACAAGTCTAAATTCTGCACAAGTTCATAGCACTTTGACTCCTGAACTCCCAAACATATTCTTCAGTTCGGTAAAAATTCAGTCTCTCCCCAAACAAAAGGGCACACATGCCTAAAAAAAGTGCAAGTATCTATACAACTTTATCTCTGGTATTTAAATGCATCTGTACTTAGCAATAAAATTGCAAAATCCTTCTTTATTAGACTAAAACCTTAACAAGAAGAGTTTTAAAGAATTACTGGCAGAAATACTCCAATAACTACAGAATTACGCTACGTAAAATTACCTTGTCTACTACTTATAATGAAAGACACACGATTAAATACCTATGCTGTGTGAACTGAAAAATATAAATACTTGCCGGCAACAATACTACTGAAGCACTTGGTGCAAGCTCTAGCTCTGATAATTTCTTTCCATAATCTTCTTTGGTAAACTCCCTTCTGGGAAACATTGTGGCCAAGGAAAAGTTGCCATAAGTGTTGCCAACTGTCTGTGAGAATGGAACAATTCAGTTAGGGTGGGACATAAATCTAAAAATAAATATAAACCTATCCAAAAGAGCTCAGAGCAGTTTACAACAGCCAGCCCACCCAGAGAGGCTTCCCCACATAGTACCCCAAAGCCTGAGGGCTCCAGCTCTTCCTCCCCACAGCAAATGCCTCCCTGCTCAGACCTCACAAGTAAACCCTCCTGCTGATCCCAATCACATGTCCCAACTGCCACCTGCATTCAGATACAAGAAACCTCTTTGCATCTCCCAACATATTTACATTGGTAATAACTTATTTTCAGAAAAGGAAACAGAAGATTTGTCTCTTCATTTGCTTTCCTATAAGCACCCAGTAAGCTCAATACAGAAGTGCATCATTCATATGGTGGAGAGGGCTTCAAAGGGCATTTATTCCAGTCCCTGCCTGCAAAGAGGCAGGTTATGATTTTCCTGCTAACTAAACTATTCATTTTATGCAATAAGTATTCTCTTAAGGAAAAGTTAATGCCAACCTACTAAGCAGATAGTAGATGGTGCAGGAAAGGTTACTAATAAAGTCGAGAAGGGTTAGTGTTCAAAATGGCACATGTAAACGTACAAGCAATCCTCAATATCAGTCAGCCTAAAGAGCCCATCATCTGAACAATGAGAGGGAGTGAACTGCCCAAGAGAGAATCCAGCACTGAAGAAATCAATTTGTTACGAGTGATAGATGTCTGCAACAGCAGACAATTATAAATGTTCTGGGATTGCTTCCTTGGAAAATTTGAAAATAAAAAGACATCTCTTTACCTGTGCAGCAAATTGCCTAGCTTCTTCCAAGTGTGCTTCTGAAGGAAACTGATTAGTAAAGGAAGATCCATCTGGGAGACGGAACTGAATCCTTGCTATAGCACTGTGGGAGACAGTTCACATTTAGTCAGTGCATCTGGCAAGTGTTTTGAGGATTTCAGCATGGTAGAATTCAAATACGTAAAAGAGTTACTTCAATTCAGGTAACTGTTCAGGAGAGATCCACAGCCGTGAGAGAGGCATGTAGCAAAGACCCCTGGGCACACATTATAACTAAGACTGTTAAATCGCACCACAAATAGTAATTCAAGGAATTAATGCTGCAACAAAATGATAAGCCAGCCACAAAAATATCCATAAAACATGTAGCATTTTTGTTGCCGGTTTCCATCATGCCTCAGACTGAAAGTGTGGCAGGGTTATCAAAGCTGAGTCAAGACTGGCGCAATCCTGGCCCTGCGACTGTACCAGTCTTGATCCAGCCCGAGTGCAGTCCTGGGGCTGGAACTGAAATCAGCTGATGGATGGTCTTGGTCCCAAGACCACTCTGGTTCAGTCAGGCTGCGGGTACCCAGATTTCAATTTGCTGGTGTAGGAGGAGCCTGGGATCTTAGGCTCCCCCTGCACAGGCACGTAGCAATGGTGCCATCAGGATCTGATCCCTGTTCTGAAAATCATGCGTCCTTCCACGCACGTGTGGCACGGCAAGAAGTGTGATTGTCCCATTGTGCCATTACATAAACCTGTGCCAGTGGCCAAAGAATGCAAATTGCCTTTGAAGGTATAAAGGAACAGAGAGACAACTAGGCCTGCCCTAACCTTCACACTCTAGGTTGGGGAAAAGCAACGACATCCTGAACACAGCCCTGGACCCTGGCCCAGTGAATTATTTTGACCAGCCATGTTCAGTTTTTGTCTGTGGGACACAAGTAGCTAGAGTGGAATCCATGAAGATATTCTTTAAATTACACCTGGTAAAAGGAACCTCCTTTCCTCCTTTATGCATGGCTTTAGGAGACAGGAAAATGCGACTTTCGCTACTCCTCTTCTTAGATTCAATTCTGAGAACACATGCTTTACCACAACTGGGGATCCAGACAAGATGCTTACACAAGCATTTTCAGGAAGCTTACTGCAGTTGCAAGCACCAGTAGAGAGAGAAAAAGCTATTGTCTTCTTAACAGTATTATCTAGATCTGCTCACAGTAAGCTAAACAACCCAGCAATAATAATGAAAGGTGCACTAGCAGTACTCCAAATGTGGGAAATATCCTGAAACATACTGATGTAGACAGCAAACGGGATTGCTAGGCTGCAAATTCAAGAAAGGGAAAAAGATCCTAGAATTTGAAGAAAGTTTGGCAAGTCTGCTATCATTTTACCTACTGATGAGTAAGGACAGCAGGCCAATAAGGACAGCCAGGAAAGATACAGGACCAGTGTGACAATAAGCTACTATCAAGCTGCAGCTGATACAGTTTCCTCTTCTGTCCCCAAAAACATGGCACTCACCTCCTTTCCTTTTGAGACGCTTCTTTCCTTGCTTCTATTTCAGCCTGCTTAGCTTGGAGAGCTGCAGCCTTGGCAGCTTCTGCTTCTTCTTTATTTTTTGCAAAGCGAGCTGCTCTTTCAGCACGATCCTTTAAAAGGACCAAACAGAAAACTGAATTTCTACCATAATCGGTGTTAAGAAAAAATAACTACTACAACCTGCAATTAACACTTAAATGCATTTGGCTTGAATAGATCATAAAGAAGAAAAAACAAGCTGACAGCCAAGTTTTTCTGTGTCTTATTGCTATTTGAAAAGCTATTTACCTTCTGCTGAATACCAGAATCTAAATTCAATTTCTGCGTGTAAAAGACAAATTTTGGTAGAACTAAGTCAATCACAAGATTTACCAGCAATTTTGTATACCTAATTTCAGTGTGAAAAAGCAAACACACGTGTAAGAGTGCAGATCACAAATATATTGAGAGGTATAATTGAAAGGGCATTTTCAATATAGTAAATTATTGTTATTAAAGAAACCAAATGTGCAAAGTAGTTATAATACAAGCCTTTAGAGACTTCAAAGGGAAATAACAGAAGAGTCTTGAATATTGCACTGTAAAAGAAAATGTTTTTTTCTGAAGAGCTTAAGTATTTTTTTGCCAACACAGAAGTTTTAAAGGAGTAAGGCAGTGCAGGATCCACCTACACAAAGCTAATTTTAAGTCTGGGGATTTAAGAATCATGGATTTGAAACAAAGGTACAATATGATCATGTACTGATGGGCAATAGTTCTAGCAGCTTTACCTCTGGTAAGTTTTAGGGAAAACCTTCCATTATTTTACTTTTTAAAATTTTAAGGAGATACAATTACGGGGTTGTAGATCTATGTATTTGTAATGATAAAAAGGCTAGTTGATGAGCCTATGGTCAAGTGCAAGAAGTGCGAACTAGCCAGTTCCCCCTCTCAACAAAATCCCCTCCAAAATACTTTTAATTTACCATATCTCTAACTTTACTAGCATCAATTCAAAATCTACTACGTTAGTGCTGCTCAATCCCATTTTTATACTCCAAAAAACTTGTTCTGGCCCATGTCATGTGCCAACACCATTTCTACCTGGTATTTCAGGAAAAGGAGCTTATATAGTTTACTGTGTTCAGTGCATATGCACACACAGTAGTTTATTTTGTAATTTAAAAAAAAAAGAAAAACATTCTGTGTCAAATCAAAACACTGGATCCTTCTACAATGTACATCCTAAGAATAATAGTCCCTATTACCTGAAAGCCAGCTCAGAAAAGCAAAATAAGGTCAGATGCACTAGAATCAGCTATCTTAAGTTTCCAGGATACTTAGGGTCCTTGCAGAGATTTAATAAACCCAAATCATGAGATTACTTGATCCATGTTTATAAGACAAAAAAACTCTACCATTGCAATCTGCTGTCTTATACGCTCTCTTGCTGCTTTTTCTTCTGCCTTCTCTCTGTTCCTTTCCTCTAACATTCGTTTTGTCAATTCTTCTTCTTGTCGTCTCTTGTACTCCAGCATCTCTTTCCCAGTTTTTCTTCGTTCAATTTCCTTTTTAAGTTCTTTCTGAAGGGAACATAACTTGCATTAATGGAACACCAAAATATTTCTACAGACTGGAATGAAACTTGACTTAATAATGTTAGATGCGCCACTTGAAGACAGTGGGATTTCTATATAATTATGAATATTATTTTTTAAAGTGTTAGATAATGAAAGCACAACCAAAATAAAAAAGAAAAGAATAGCTAAGTGATAAATCTAGTTATATTTTACGTGTTCTTCCTCTTTCTTTTTCTCCTCTCGTCTTTCTTCAAGCTTTTTTGTTAGCCTGCATAAAAAAATAACAAAAGACAAATACACTTACAATTACAGCTTGAAGTATTTACATTTTATTTAATTTTTCGCTTTTATGGAATTAGCATTTAAAAGGATGTGATAATAAAATACCATCTAAAATTTTACAAGGAGGGAAAGTGAGAATAACTATGAATTGTATTAAAGTGGGGCCATAGTAGCAACAGACTGAATTTAAAAATACATTTTGCCTTACATGGCAACTTGCCAATTAAGTTCCAATCTCCAATATTTTTAAGGTTATCAGTTTTATTATTCCTTCTATTATTCCCCATTAGGTGACTGAATAGCTTTGCAATCTTGTCCCACCCACTCCAAAAGTATTTCCATTTTGACGCAGTGAGACGTAATAAGGCGTTCTGAATCCAATCTAAGGTGGATGCAAAATTGGCCAAATCATCATGTCCAACAATTAGTCATCAATCGCACAATGTCTATTTAGGAAGAGGTATCAATTGGGGCTCCCCAGGGGTCGGTCCTGGGTCCAGCATTTTTTAATATCTTTACTAATGGATTTGCAGATTGGGGCTGAGTACACACTTAGCAAATTTGCAGATGACACCAAGTCTGGGGAACGAATAGCGGGGCTGCAGTACTGCAGAGAAAGACCTGGGCTAGGGACAAAAGTTACAAATAAACCGGTTTAAGCGATCAGAAACTGGTTTAAACCTGCAACAGAACAGAAACTCAGTGCACATAAACCAGTTCCAAAATGGCTGAAACTGATTTAAGATAAACCTGGTTGAATGTGGTACCAGATTTAACTGATTTGGGTCGAACTGCTTTATGGAACTTCTGTCCCAGACCCCTTCCTGGTTTAAGTTAAATCAGAGTCCCCCAGCATCCCAGCATTTTGCAGCCCTGGGCTGAGCTGTGCTGTCTGCTCCAGAGAGCAGGGCTGGCCCTGCCTCTCTGCTCCCTAGCTGGAGCAGTGAGGACTGGCTAGCAAGAGGTCGGGGGGGGGAGGGGGGCGCAAACTGCACCCCCCCCGCCAAGTCCCAGCTGGGGTCTGGGGCCAGGAAGTGGGGGTTAAATGCCCATTCCCTTGCTCAAACTTACTGCTGGCTGAGACTGTGGACTACAAATCCCAGAGGCACCTGGAAGTGGGAAAGGGAAGTGATGAGCAACCCTGCAGAGTCCTGCTGCTGTAACTCTGGATTGCAAATCCCAGAGACCTCGGGGGCAGCAGGAAAAGGAAGTGAACACACAGCCAGAGCGCGGCTGCATTTCCTGAGTCAAAGGTAGGTGTCTATTCACTTCTGTTTCAATTTAATCTGTGCAGTTTAGACCAGGTGTTGTCAGCCAGGGGTACGTGTACCCTCGTGAGTACTTTGAAAGGTCTCAGGGGTAAGTGAGGGCGAGTGGGGATGGAGTGCCACCACCCCACACTGCTGCCTCAACAAGCAGGGCTGGGGTGGGGTGAGGGCAGTGGCATGCCACTGCAGGCCTAACAGGCACCGCCCAGCTGGCTGGATGCAGGGGGAGAAGCTTGAATGCAGCAGCCATCACCCCACACTGCCACTCCGTGTGAGACCGCTGCCACCCTCCCCTCCCCAGCTCCTCAACCACTGCTCAAAAAAGGTTGAAAACCCCTGGCTTAGACTAACCTGCAAAGACTGAATCGATTCAGCCTCAGGCTTTCTGACTGTCTGTACTCAGCCCTGGGGGTTACATTAGACCATGAGATGAATATGAGCCAACAGTACGTCCTTGCAGAAACAGGAGTGTCATTTGCAAGTCAAGGGAACTGATTCTTCCACTTTATTTAGTATTCAAGAAATGTATTAAGCACATTAATTCAGATGGAAAGTCCAAAGAAGTACAAACCTTTCCACTTTGACTGCAAGGTCATTCACAGGCTGAATATCAGTCACTCTCTCATCTGAAGAACTACTTGTGTCTTGAGGCTGACTTGCCTGATCTGCACATGCTTTATCTTCAAGTTTTAAGGCACAGAAGGGGAAAAATAGGAGTCAAATTTATGATCGCACAAAAGCTATAACAAAACCCCGTTGTCACATTAGTTAATATCCTGGCCAGCTTCTGCCATCTTTTGTTGCAAACTATCGTTTACCAAGCATATAAAGAAAATACATTACTAGAAAGGTCGGTGACCCTCAAAATTGGTCCTAAGTTTTATGAATATGATACTTGCATCATTTTTAACTGTTACCTTACAAACATCATATTTTACTTATTACAGAGTAGGTATTTGGCTCAGTGCACTCTCTGCAAGATGCACTCTGAGGGCATTATGATAGCCAAAGGCCACAATGTCTTACCACCATTTATATTAATTTTAAGAAATAACAAATCAGAGCATTAATATTTTAAAAGTATATTAGGTAGCGCTCATAAACCTGCTTATTAAAATTACCTGCAGAAGAGCTTACAGTCTCAGGTTGCATTGTACAAAGCTCATCTGCTCTGGAACAAACATTTTCTGAAGGGCTATTAGACTGAAAAGAAGGACATGGAGCAGACAACTGACTCTCGTTTTCCAGCGCTTGATTTTTTACTGTGTGCATCTACGAAAGAAGAAAACAACTGCAGTAATAAAAGGGTAACAAAATTCTGGTTATGTTCTTAGGCTTAAAACTCAAACCTCACCAACCCTTCTTCTCTCTGGAGGGCAGACAAGTCTTGTACACCTCAAGTACAGCAACTCATGAACACCGGAATACAAAAATAAGTGCTGATATTATGTTTACATCAACTCCTTCACATTATTTTTATCCTGACTGGCACAAAGATACAGGCATGGGTGGGATATGCCCATTGTCATAACATAGTTTAATAGTAAGCACTTGCATCGCTTTTAAAAGCTTAATGTGATACAAATACTGGAAGCCATTTTGTTTTCTGACCCCTGCTAGCAGAGTAGCTTAGGACAGTGGTCTCCAAAGTGGGGTGTGCGCAAGACGATCCATTGGGGTGCAGGAAGAAAATATT